TGACCCATATATATATACAATATATGTATCATCATCCAATGTGTATATATTGGGGCTGTTACTTTTGATAACTTCGAAGATTCGAAGCTTTGACAATTTACTCGTGCCAGTGGCGAATTTATTTGAAGAACACTAAAAATACTGTAAATAAAAAGTACTTATTTATATATGTTGAAAAGTAGGTAATTACTTCTAAATTATAATTTTGAAGTACTATGACATGTATATTACATATTTGTTTAAGATCGCGTAATTAAATCTTCAAAAATAATCAAGTAAATCAATTAAGTATCGTATCAACACTTGAAAATTTAGCAATAAATAAATTTATTGCGAATTATATCGCTAATTAATAATAATTTCATTTATTTAAAATTTATCTGAATATTACTTGGGTTTATAAATTATCGAGTTATTGTCCGTGTGCATTCTCAATTCTTATCCACGTCATGCATCTATCACGGACATTCACTCGAATAATATTTAATATAGAAACATTTTCAATAAATAGTGAAGCAGTTCTCATCAGTTCTCATTGAATTATGTGTCTATAGAATTTTTTATCGACTATACAATTTAATAAATATTTTAAGAAATGAGTCAGATCTGTCAAGGCTGAGGCAAAAGTGACAAAATCAGTAGATGGATGTGACATTGACGCGAGTAATTAGTCAATTGTTAAAACGAATGTAAAACTTATTTTTCGTTTTATGATGAGAATATAGATATATGCTCATAATATGTATGTACATAGGGATACATACATAAGGAGGACAGATTCGTTACGATCATGTTATATAACAAAGTCAGATAGTAATCAAATGTGTCTAAGATTAAAAACAATATAATTGTAACAATTAAAAAGAAAACTTTAACATGCATAGAAATTTTTTACTAAATTTAAATTATTAAATGATTTAGTACTTTAAATTTAAATATTTTATCTAAAATTTTTGCCAATATTGCCAAATTTATTAATATAATGAATGTAGAATACGACAAATAGATTATTTTGAACTTGGACGAGATTCATAAATCATATGATCACAATTCTGAAGCAAAGCACGATTAAACACATATGTAATCATGTTATAATACTTCGTAATTATAATTCAGAAGTAATTACCTATTTTTTAACATACATAAATTAATACTTTTTATTTGCAATATTTTTAATGTTCTTTGAATAAATTGGCCACTCGCACGAATACATTTTTCGAAGCTTTAAAGCTTCGAAGTTAACTTCGAAGCTTCGAAAGTTCGAATGTCGAAGCCTTCGAAGGAAATCACCAGTCCTAACGTCAACAACTCTCCGCGCGTCTAGCAACACCGATCGCGGATTGAGCGGTAGACCGGGCTAAGATAGCGATTTTTAATAATTAATAACTCGTTAACTATTGCGAAAATTGTAAAATGGTAGAGGACTTTTCGACTCAATCTAATCCGCTCTATCCGTAAATAAGAGGTGAGATGGGTATTATATAACAACCTGTATACGTATACTGGGTGTCTCATTTTAAATAATCCACGCAAATATCTCCAAAAATATGAAAGATACAGAAAAATGTTTCAAACAAAAGTTGTTTGGTTCGAAGGGGAATATTAAGTGGTACCATTGACAAGACCTTGGATAGTCATTTAAAGGTCACGTGGAAGTCACCTTCAATTTTTAAAAATGGAACCCCCTATTGTTTATTATATTATCTTATTCTACTAATTAATATGAACAAATTTTGTCTGAAGCATTTCTCGATTTGCCTAATACTTTTTGAGATATTCAAGAGAAAATTTATAACTTTTTCAATGTTTAGCTTATGATATCTCGATAACTGCTTGTCAGAGGGAAAAGTAATACAGGACTTTTTTTTAGTTGATTTAGTCTCAGGAATATGCTGTTTAAATAGTGATCCAATTATTGAAAATTGTGTATTGTAACATACACAAAATTTACATGCACAAAAATTTGAAAATTGCCCCCTCGAAAATATTGAGGGTTCACTTCGAACATTGTTTCGTACGATGCTTATTTTTTCGAATATTTTGCCGTCTAAAGTTAAAAAAACTCACCATGTATATATGTACCTATATAAAACAAAAGGTATGCAATAGTGCTCCAGTTATTGAAAATTTTTGTGTATGTAAATTTTGTTACAATACACAAAAATTTTTAATAATTGAAACACTAATGCAACAGCATATTCCTGTGACTAAATCAAGTAAAAAAAGTCCTGTACTATTTTTCCCTCCGACAAACAGTTATCGAGATATCATAAGCTAAACATTGAAAAAGTTATAAATTTTCTCTTGAATATCTCGAAAAGTATTAGGCAAATAAAAAAATGTTACATACAAAAGTTGTTCATATTAATTAGTAGAGTAAGACAGTATAATAAACTAAATAAATAGGAGGTTCCATTTAAGAAATTGAAGGTGACCTTCAAATGAATATCCAAGGTCAAGTCAATGGCACCACCTTATGTCCCCCTTCGAACTAAACAACTATTGTTTGAAACATTTTTCCGTATCTTTCATATTTTTGGAGATATTTGTGTGGATCATTTAAAATGGGACACCCTGTATACATATAGTACACATATGTACATAAATCAATATACATATAGTAATTTCTATTTATTATTTTCTATATGGCATAAAATTATAAATAAATTCTGTCCCACTGAATGATTGATGATATAAAATGAACTTGATGTGAAATCTTAAAAGGAAAACAGAAAGATAAATTTTATTAAATTTCTACAAACAGAAAATTTATATTCATTAAAAGAGTCTGTAACTAAAAAAAATTGCGATTGGTCTGAAATAATCTGTGTAATATGTTATATGATTATACTTTAGTATAAAAATGTATATCTTCTTATTACACAATTGAGAGCAAATTTTTAAGTATTTGTTTTTATTTATTAGTGAAAAGGGAGAAATTGATATTCGATCATAATGCACACTTTTTTATCCTTATTTATACAATTCATAAATATATTAATCTATGAAAATTTAAAATTTTGAAAGTTATTATTATTGCTTCTTTTCATAATATTATACACTAATAAATACAAAAAACTCATAACAAACGTTACCGTTGAATATTCAACATTATACATTAGTAGCTCATATATCTAATTAAAATTATGTATTAGGCTAATGTAAGCACGAATAAAATGAATTAAAATTTAGATATGTGTACACACGACTGAGATTTGTAGGATATTTTTGTAGATTGTTTGGAGTTATTTAGCTTGTTACTATATCATCATACACAGGTCTACGGAATCTATCGAGTTAAGAATTAAATGAGTATTTCTATTTAGTGACACAAGTCGGTACAGCCGTCTTTCTACCTTTCTTGGCATTCAATAACAAAGACAGACTAACACTTGTATCAACTTGTGTTAAAAGAAATCATCCAACATATAATTTCGAATTGCACAAGAAACTGTAGATTTTTGATTAGATTACAAAATGCTAAGGCACCAGAGGTAAATGCAAATAATAGTGATTGACATTACGTTACTTCCTAATAACATTAAGATCATTAACTACAGAAGTTTCTTTTGTGTGTAAATATGTTTAATAGTAATATATATGTTGTAAAGATATTTATACATGTTTACATATATAAGTATACCCTACATCTCTTGATAGTCTCAGACTTCTTGTTTTCGTATTTATTTCAGAGAGTAATATAAATGAAATATTTTTTTAATATACTCATCCCGTTAATTGCCATTGCATTCGAGCATACTTATTGCAACTTAAGCAAAGCTAATCAATTGTCGGATTAAAAAAAAGGGTTATTCTATTAATGTACTTTTTGTAATTTCTTGTTATACTATATAATTTTTAGACATTTTTGTAAACAATACACAATGACAAAAACAGATATATTAACTTTATTATGTATTATCATATTATCAAGATATTATCACGTTATACATAATGTTTCTATACTATATAGTTATTGAATGTAATAAATAATGAAAAAGCATCTTTCGATACATGGCAGTTAATAAGACGAGTTCAACACTTGGTAATTTTCCAATATTACCTATGTATGTTTGTCATTTCAAATTGTTTAATCACACATAAATAAAATTAAGATTTACTAAAACATTTTTATAATTGTTAGATACTTCATTGTAAAGTTACAACCTAATGATATACATGGACTGGATAACTTTATTTGCACAAATAATAATTCTAACTGAAAATTTTGATACACGATTATTCTTTTATAAATGTCTAAACAATAAAGCCATTTCAGGCACAAATATCAAACATTGCTTTCTAAACTCTATAATTTGGTGTGCTGCTGTGAACAAAACAAGATTGTTACTCCATCAAAAATGTTCTCGAATTTTTGTCCAATCTACAAAGCCTGGTAATCCCATTACGAGATCATAGTATTTGAAAATTTATAGTCTCTCAATGAAAGATGAAAGTTATGACATAACATATTAGAGATAATGTTTGAGTTACTAATCGATAAACGACTTAGAATAAAACTCTAGATCTGAAACTGTTATGTACAATATTTATTGATACAATTATGGTCAAATTTGACAAAATTCCTGTCAAAACATAGTGTTTCTACTGTCCCAATACATGGATGCATTCCATATTCTTGTTAACATAATTTACCTTTACACACCAATCCTAAGACGGAATTTTCTTTATTTTCTACTCTGTCATATCATCTACTTTATATTGTATTATGCGTCACATTATTTTCGATTATTAGCTCTGACGTTAAATCATTTGAAGTTTTAATTGAGATAACACAATGGATACCATATATGGATGCATATAAAATACTTAAAGGTACTATGAAAAAAAAAGAAAGTATACATAAATATGATAATTACGCTCGATGATTGATTTTCGGTTTTAATAATTGCAGGCAATTTAGCAGTTGTTGCTAAACATATACATCCCTCCTGTTACCTCTGTACATAGTAGATAATAATCAAGATCGACAAGAGGTATAGAGGAGCAACTGCTACAGAAGGCAGTAAAATGTCAGTACGACAATCAACAGGACAGTATGACAGTCAAATGTCAGTATGACAGTCTTTTGAACACCATGAGGTCATGGGAACACTGTGAACTGAGTACGCTGTAGTTCGCTACGATACCATCTCATGCCAGCCACTGCTATTTGAAGAGTTGGTTTCAAGCGAAACTGAAAGGAATAAGAAATACATGAAAAGGGAAGAACAAAATGTGAGAGATTGCGATATTAATATTAAAGCAATCCATCTTGGATGATTTTACTGTGCAAAAGATTACCTGTCTTATCATTTTCTCCATCTGAAGAAAATGACCTTGGGCCCCATATCCTTACTGTAAAATCATCTGACACAGAAGCCATCATTTGATGATACACAGGATTCCATGAAACACAATTGACCGTTCTACTGTGTCCTGTAAGAGTCGCTATAGGCAGTTCTCTTTTGATATGCCACACATACACTTTATTGTCTGTAATAAAATCGAAAAAAACAATGATTAGTCATTATTAATCATATTACGTATTAATATTTTATTTAAAAGAAAACTAACAAAATACAGTGATGCAATGTATAAAAATACATTTTATTTTTTATGACAAACCTTCACTGCCAGAGGCAATAAAATCTTGATTGACTCCTCCGAAACAGCTATGAATAGTAAAATGTCCTTGAGTGACGCCTTGAAAACGTCTAACAAGGCATTTGTCCTCTAAATCCCAAAGATGCACGCCTTGATTTGCTACATTAAGTAATGCAAGTCGATCTGCTTTGTTTACACTAAAGGACATAACAGGATGATCCTCTTGTAATCTGTAACGGCATGAAAATATTCCATCAAAAGTTTTCTTCACTAAGACAATCGAGACAATACACAATTAGTTATTATAAATCGTACATAGTAGCATCGCCCAAGTCATCAAAAGTATAGCTGCGAATTCTATGATGTGTATCAGCTGCTAGAACAGTTCTTCCATCGCTACGACACCACAAACATTTTACTCTTACTCCTTCCCATGAATCCGAAACATTGCCGTCCATATCCTACATAGTTTTATTAATACTTAGTACACTGAGAAAGAATATTCGATACATGTTTCAAAATGTTAAATAAATTTAAAAACTTTAACACAAGTAAAAATTTTTAATAAATTGAAGCATATCTCTCATTGAATCATGATATTGTTATTTTATATCAAATAAAAATTTTGGACAATATTTTGCAATTGTAAAAATTCTGTTTTACTCGTTGAAAATTTTTAGAGAGTAGTTTTATGTGCTAAAAAAATTAACGTTATAAATTATATATTCGTTTCTCAAGATTAACGTACGCATTGATAAAATTGACCACGAAGTCCTCCCGCTACAAATTTATTCGAATCACGATGCCAGGCACAAGCCGTCAGTGAGTCGTCCGTGTTTTGCGTTAATTTTACACGTAATTCGCAATCGGGCGTATCGACACTCCAAAGCCATAGTTCCGGACAATCTTCAGGACCGCAGGCAATTAGATGGCTGCTGTCAGGACTCCAAGCAATCAGCGCCACGCCATACGTATGCCCTTCAAGTGTCTTCCTATGCGTCACTTTTAGTGTTTCCTGCATTACATTAGGATAAGCGTTTATTAATAAACTATCATGAAAACTGTACAAGATACCTGCTACTTTTAAGTACACATTTTTTCACCTCTGAATTTTTTAATAATTTTTTTACAAGATTTTCAAAAGGGGTTATAATTTATTATAATGTCAAATCACGTATCTTTGCAACTAAATCTCCATCAAAACAAAGCTTTAAAATTATTTAAAAAATAATAACTTTATCTATTTCTCTAAAAATTTACTATTGAAAAACCCTTTTATTTTCATCATTTATTTATTCAATAAGCTCGAACATTTTAACAATTTTGAGAGAAACAAATTGTGTCAAGGTTTATAAAAAACTTACAATTAAAAATCTTTTAGTTAGAATATGACATACACGCACACGTAAACACATATGCACACGTTGTTAACGGTTCAATACAGTATTGATTATAGTATTAAATACTTACAGGATCTACGTCCCATATAATTACTGTCATATCTTTAGAACCTGTGGCAAGCTTGAGACCATCGGGTGAGAATTTGCAATACCAGACTTCGTCGCAATGATCGTTGAGTACCTGTATGGTATGGCACGGAAACTGCTCCTTGCCACAGTTATGATCCACAAGCAAAGAGACGTTTTCTAGGCTTGTCTGCTTTAGAAGAAAAATAATTTCATTAATGCATAATAAGATATTAGCTAGAAAGATAATTTCAAGCACAAAGACTTATTCAATATACATATGTATACGTAATACAAATCTACTTTTTAAAATTTTATAATGTAGATACCCAGATAGCACCGAATGTTCCATGAATGTTTGTATATGATTCGAATGTTCTCTCTCAGGAATATTCGCATGGATGTGCCGTGAATGTTTCTAGAATGTTCTTCATATTCTATGAATATTCTCACAGAATGCCCAGGGAATATTCGT